ATGCTTCGCTGTGGCACATTGTAGTTAAATTAATGAGAAATGAGGAATAAATAGATAAAAACAATATTTGAATCGTATTGTATATCATGTCAAAATTTGAGCTTAACTATTGAAGAACTTTTTGAGTTTTTGAAGCGAACCCAAACCAACTTAACGTTTTCATATATATAGATTACAGAACGCCTCATATCAAGTACCAAGTTGGTATATTAAGTAGTCCGAGACTAAAAAGTACCAACATCTAGTCTTAAGAGATGTTGTTGCTTTGAACTATTCTAATACTGAGGGAAGTCTAGGCTATAAGCAAATCTGATTTCACTTTCGAGAGCTATCTAGGCAGAAGGAGGTATATTTATAATGGCTATTAACTGCTGTTGTTGAACCTATTTACCCTAAAGATAGTAGATTAAGCCAGGGATGACTCAAATTTCTTTAAGCAAAGTTGATTCTCTTCCAAATGACTTTTAAATAAGTTATTCTATATTTGAAGTCAGTCTGTAGCTATCAAACTGTTTGTAAAAGCCTTCACTCAACGAAAATTGTGCCCCTAACATTCCCAAGGACGTTCGTTATCATAAATCCCAATTTACTATTCATGAGATTCATCGATTCATCAGCTACTATCCTTTATTCGGTTACTATTGATTTCTTGGCAATGTTTTATTTAACCTTGGTTTTGTACGTCTTAGAATTTATTTCTAAGTAGCTATTACCCGCGACTTTATTCGCGTGGAATTTGAAAAGTACCGCCTCATTGGTGTAGTACGTTACGCGACTGCAGTTCATGAGACCTCGGGTTTGATTCCCGAACCGGGCAAACTTTTTTAGGCTTTTAGACAGCCACCTGGTAGAAAAGTATAATCAAAATCCGTTCAACCGTTTTGAAGATTACCCGAAACAAACAGACAAACAGACAAAACTATTTAAACTAGTTTTTAGGCAGAGATATCATGCAAAGAACTGTGTGAGCAGAAAAAAAGCTATTATTTTGACATTAGCAAATATGTTTCTTACAAAAGTTTTTTTATTTTATTTTTTCCAAAAGAAAACTGCCGCTTTAGGAATATATAGACACAAAGAACACCCAAAGTCAGGACAACAATTTGGGGATCACACAACATACAACACTCAGAAGCGGCTTGGTGACCACTTAAACCACTACGATATCAGAGCAGTTAACTACTTTTTACAAGCTTTGTATGTGTGTAACTATGTTTGTACGGGTGGAATCTTGCAATTCAATTTTGAAGCAGATATATTCAACCGATTGAGCTTAAATTTTGTGTACACATTTAGTTTGGATGACAATGTTTCCTTTAAAACTATTATTAACAACTTACGAGTATAACGTCATTGCACGTGTAGATAACAAGTAAATTAAATAACTTGATTTGTTAGATTTTAATTTTTTAAATTTTCAAACTAAATAAATACAAGTATTTAAATATCGCGACAAGCTTTTATATCATATAAATTGTGTAATGACGTTATAAGCTGTTGTTAGTAAAACTTTTAAAGGAAAAGTTTATTTTTAGTGCATTTAAATAAAATCTTGTTATTAAAAGGTTTTTTACTTTTAATTATTAATGTATAATGTCTGAAGATCAGATTTCTTGCAAAACAACTATTTTGACAGAAAAAAATGGTTAAAACCTATTATTTTTATTTTAACAAATGAAATTTCTACAACATGATAACTACTAAAAAATAAAGCGATTGCTGTTTAAGAATATTGGTATATCTATCTCGTGACTGTCTCGATGGGTTCCGTTGATAGATAAAATTTGCGAACAGTGACATTTTTAAAGTTAGGTTTTTATACAGAATTTTTTTTGGTCTTGGGTCTCGTCTAGTAGTAATTTATTGTCCTCGAGGTATAGAATTTATAAGCGTACCTTTTCACTGTTCATAATTTATATCGATTTCAAACTTTTCTTAAGGCTGTTGGGCTAAGGTGCTGATCCAGCATGTTGGCCCAAAATATCGGCTTTTGTTTACAGATTTGCGTAGTGATCATTCTGCATTGGCGCTTTGTCAATGATGGATGTGAAATCTCTTGCAGCCGCGGCAATGTATATAGTACGTTTAATTATTACCTAAATGTATACCAGCGTGTAAAAACTGTTTGAGTAACGCTCCAAGATCCTTTGATGTGTGCACGGAAAACCGACACTATTCGGTTGGGCGGCTAGTGTTGTCGTCAACTACCAACTTACCTCCAAGTGGATCTCCAATATACTGGCCCAAAACCGGAGGAAGGCCGCTGACATGAGTTGACCCCATGTGTACAGCGGCCTTTAGAGAAACTACAATAAATAGAACTGTGAAGGCTAAATTTGTTTTATATTTTTCCAATTAACTCAAAATTCTATTAACATGTGAACAGTCTCTTTGTCCTGATACATGCTCAACATTTCAAGGTAATAATTGACCCAATAATAAAGATTTGTTGTGTTGGCGAGTGGTAGCTTGCCTATGACTAGCGGGGGTATACTTTTTTAAGAATCCTTACATACCGAAGTGGTGGAGTCTCAGATAGATATAGGTCTCGAATGAGGCGACCTCAAGCCATGAACACAATCTAAGAAAACTAATTATCTTAAAGCTTTATCATTGTAATATCACTTTACTTTTATTTATTATAAGTTAAGTCATTGTAATAATTCAAATATTATTATAACACACGAATCCCTGTAAGATATTTCATTAACAATAACATTTTGATGACCTAATAAAAGCTATTCACAACAACAGAAGCTATATAATGCCTCTGTATTATATACCTTTGATTTGTTAGCCGTTTTATACCAAAAGGGTCTCATTTCGACACAATGAAAATATCTATGAGAAAAATACTATATATACGGTTTGCTTTTCAGTGTTCTTATACTCAAATTTTTGTAACCGACTTCAAAAAGGAATAGGTTATCTATTCGGATGTTTATTTTTTATGTATCTACGGACAGAAAACCGTCATACATAGACGGATTTTCAAAATCCTTTTTTGTTCGAAAGGGGTTATTTCCGAAATTGTCTCATTGTTGCTAGGTTTTCAGTGCTCTTTTTTTAGTATTGTTTGAAGTCGGTCGCACGTTTTTTAAAAGGCTTTATAATTATAACTTCTTAGTAGTTCATCATTATCATCAGCCTATAGCAGTCCACTTCTGGACATAGGCCTCTCCCATTGCACGCCACTTAGATCGATTTTGGGCTTCTCGCATCCAGCTCCTGCCAGCCATCTTGCTCAAATCGTCACTCCACCTGGCCTGTGGGCGTCCTACACCACGTTTGCTGACCCGGTAGGCTATGTCGGTGACCTTGGTTCTCTGTTAGTAGTTATACAATCTTAACTTAAATATGTACTCGTATATGACTTGAAAAAATAATATCATCTATTATAATTCTAGTTTAAATAGCTTTATATCTACCTTAACTCTTCACTCACAAAGCGGTAACGCGCTTACGTATCTTGTTGTAAGTGTCCATGGGTGGCAGTAGTCGCTTAACATCAGGTAACCTTTCTTCTTTTGCCTCGTCGAAAGCGTCAAAGCGACTCCTGAGTTTCAGGTGTTCATGGGGGGAGGTGGTCGCTTTCCATGAGGTGACGAGTCTGCTCGTTTACTGCTATTTCCATTAAAAAAAAATTTAGGCAGTTAAATTTTGTTCCAAAACGGATACATCCAAAATTCGACTACCAACGAAAACTCCCAGGATTCTGAATTATTTAAATAGTTTCGAATAGTGAAAATTCTGGTAGTCCAGGGTTAAAAAAACTAATTTTAAACGCACATATGGAAGTAATTTTTAATTGGTTAATAGTCTATTTTCATTTTCTATAAACTAACCTTATTTCTTTCTGAATGCCCGGCGACAATTCTTTTTATTCCAGTCCAGGAATTTTTAAGAAGAAGTCCACCAGTCAGAAAATTAGAATCGGCATCTTTATATGACTATCCCTGTGTATGTACGTTTATCTGTGGCAGCTACTGATGACACTGGAAAGCTTGCTATTTGTATTCTTATGAGCAATGAAAAAAAGGTTTATTTCAAATTTGAATCTAAAGGTCACGTTTGTAGGATTTAGGGCTTATAGCCTTAGACTAAACTGTAAATATTGTGAAACTGTAAACAGCTTACAACGGTTTGCAATGGACTTTCCATTTGACGTCTTCGATTATGCCTCCGTGAATTGCTTATTCTATTTTTAACTAGACTGGTTCTATGAAATGTAAATTTTATATTTTTACCTACTTTAGAACTCCTTTATTTATAAACCGAAACAATATAAGGAACTTCTCTTCCAATGCCATACTTTCAAATAAAAAAAAACTCTCGTTTGATTCCATTCTAATTGGAAGAAAAAGTACTAATACTAATAGTGGAAAATTTTGTAATGTAGAATACAGTTTATTACAGTTCGTGATAGTTTAAACGCATTGAAGTCGAGCATACTTTAACAATTATGTTATTTCCAGTTGTATATTACTTGTATGCATACATGTAGACAGATAATTTCCTTAAAAAATAAATCATCCTACTGATATACTTTTAACCAACCAGTGAAACAAATTATCGCTTGTGTTATTACCCGACCGATACGACATTCAAAACTCCAAGAAAAGAGCGTACCCCCATTTCAAAAGCCGGCAACGCACTTATGACTCTTGAGTTCCAGCTGTCCAAAATAGCGATATTCACATACCATCAGGTTATTCGGCTGCTCGTTCGTCTATTATAGCATAGAAACTGGCTCATTTGAATATTAACACGGTCGGCTTGATAATATTCAAATGAGCAGGATGCTCATCAATTAATTGGAAACCCTTTTGCAATAACTTAATTATGGCACAGGAAATGTATAGATGCTAAATTAAATTCTATGCCGATGATTAAAGATAAGTACATTCATGTAATTAACAATTATTATTGAAATCAGCTCAGCATAACATACAATGTAGGTACACACATTACACATTCAACTTCAATTTTTTTTTTTATTTCTAATATTTTTCTCGATCTGCATTGGCAAAACACTGTGTAATCTGATCAAGCCTTTCCGTTTGAGATACCATCTTCAATGCTTCTAATGCAGCTGACACACGGCTACCCAAGTCCATATCTACTTGTGTCAATAAGAGCAAAGCTCTTTTTTCAAGATCATGAGGTATATTCAGCATAGTGTTAGCTACATTTTCTGCAACCCTTTGTCTATGTGAATCACTTTCTAGAATTTCGTTATAAAACTCCGCCAATGGTTGTAGGTCAATCGCAGTGGTCTGCAAAATTATAGGTAAATCTTTTGGTCGACTTTCATCTACATAGGGTACAGGGCCATTGAAAGAGTTTGGATAATAATTTGGTGCGTCCTTCATATTATCCAACACCGGTGCAACTCCGTCTCGACTGTATGTTTTTTTATACAAAGGAGCATTAATTGGTGTGTTGGCGGCATTTGCTCCCAGACGATAGTTCTGCGCGTCTAGATAGAAAAGCTTTCGAGCTCTGAACATAGCATCATGAGGTCCTGCTATACCTGGGACTAAATTATCAGGATTAAAACCAGTTTTCTCTGTATCTTTAAAGTGATTATCAACGTTTTTATTTAAAACGAGTCTTCCTATGGTAACAGTGTGATAACTGCCTCTTTTCCACAATCTGATCATATCAAAAGGGTCAAAATCAACTCTTGTCAGGTCCTCTTTTGTTAAAATATCCATCTCTAGCCTCCAAGCTGGGTAATTTTTGTTCGCTATAGCATTATATAAATCTCTGTTGTAATAGTCAGGATCCTCAGAACGTAATACACTTCCTTGAGTATTGGTTAGATTAAACAAACCAATTTCCGTTCGGAAATTAAATTTAACGAAATATCTTTTGCCTTCTTTATTATATATTTCATATGTATGAAATGGAAAATAATTTGCCTTCCTAAAACCATCTGGTAAGCCAAGATCTGACATAAGCCACAAGTTAGCATGAAGTGATTCCGGCTTTAATGTCAGAAAATCCCATTGCATGGTATTATCAAACACTTGGGTTCGAGGATTTCTTCTAAAAGCACGAATGAATGAACGGAAATCTATCGGGTCTCTATATACGAAAACAGGTATATTAAAAGTTATAAAGTCCAGATTGCCTTCCTCGGTGTACATTTTTACAACAAGCGCTTTTGCATCTCTGTCTATATCAGATCCACCGCGGTTTTGTCTAGCAGTAGAAAAACGTACTACAAGTGGAGTTCTTTTTCCGATACCATTGAATACATCAGCCTTAGTATATTTGGATACATCATTAGTAACTTCAAAATATCCGAACCCACCAACTCCTTTCGCATGAACAAGACGTTCAGGTATTCTTTCCCTATCTTGATGAGAATTCAGTCGGAAAAAATTAATGTTGGTGAATATGTCAGTATTTAATGTAACCGTGTCTCTTATATCCAGTGGTCTTCCTGTTATTTTCGTCAGCACTCCTACTGGTCTCTAAAACAGAATTGGTAGTTTATAGAAGGAATCTAGTTAACTTGTAGGCTTGCTTACTATAATATAACAAAAAAAAAAGGAAGTTAATTGCAAATAAAAGAGTCTCAAGAGGAATAAAACCTATAACCTGTAACACTGTTTTATACGCTTTAAAGTCTTAATAAATGAACTCATCATCATAAAATGTGTACACTCATGGCCATGGGTAGGTTCAAAGTATAATCTAGGTAGGTACCCTATGTACCTTCATTTGTTAATGGTAAACAAGTAACCTAATGGTATTTAGCAATAGGTTCAAGTAGGTACTTTCAGATGTTTTAAAGATTTATTGTCAGTACTTACAATTATATTATGTTTTTCACTATGTGTTTTGGGTAAGATATTCGCCATAGTTTCCCCTGTGATTATGACATGATGTTAAATATCATTCCTAAAACAGTTGTTGGTGCGTTTAAATTTAACAATTAATTTAGTAATTAATCTATTATAATTAAATTATTAATTATTTTTACAAATTAATATCTACAAAAGCACAAGAAGTCCAGAAAGAGTTACCGGATGTCGTCTTCTGAAGTCTACAAGCTGCTGAGACACGGCGTCAGGTGCCATGGAATCATTACAAAATTGAAAAGTAAACACTTGGGCCACAATTGCGATCAGAAAAATACTAAACACTACAATTTGCTTCATTTTTTACAACAGAATGGTAACACTGTAAGATTTCACCAACTTTATGTTTGTAAATCGTCGGAAGAACACTAACCATTATGGATAATTATGTACCCATATACAGCTGTTCAAACTGTGATATATGTATTCTTTTTTTCTTTGAAAGAGAAATCCCGCCTTAGAAGCATATACTGTGTCGCGGGAAACTTTAGAAACCTTCATCAAACGGACACAAACGACACCCAGATTCAGAACAACGGTTAGTAGATCAGGCAAAGTGTTGTTCCATGTGGGGATCGAACACATTGCACTCAGTAAAGTAGGAAGCGGCGAGGTGACCCCATAAACCACTAAGCCATCCGTGTAGTCAAATAGGTTGATGTAAATAAGAAGCCGTAAAATAACGCCTAATATCGTCATTGATTTTTAGGGAAGGACATAAGCTACTTTTTACCTCGATAACCGACATACATGCTGGCGAAGCATAAAACTAGTAGTAAGTAATAATATTATACGCAGCGATTCAAACGTAAAAGATCCTTTACACTAACAAAGGATAGTGTGCGTGTCACTTTACAATAAGTGACACTTCGTCGTGTTATAGAGATCACCATAACCAATAAGTGCATTCATCAGTGGCATAAAGTTACTAATAAGATTCAATTCAAAAATATCCCAAACATGATCGCAAATATAAATTAAGTAAGGCAAGATCTAAAAATTGGCAAGTGTTTGTGAAACCAAAAGGAGCTAGATCATTTAAAGTCCTACACACCAAAAATATCTAACAGTTTAAAAAAAAGTTGCGTAAGTGGCTTGAAAAACGAATACTAGCTTTCTTTAACCCAAGTAAAATTATGAAAATAATGAAAAACACATGCACAATTATTATTATTAAAAAAAATACAACTCGGTATTAAAATATCGCCCATTTCCAAACAGTTACTTTTTGAATCCCCATATAGTTATTACAAAATTTGCTTAAACATTACCACTACACATGTATGCATTAAATACACAAAGCAGTTACTTCAATTTACATGCAGTTATATTACGTCAAACCTTAGGGCCTTAAGTATAGCAATGCATTACATTACACACGTTCTTTTGCTTGTGTTGTAACCGCATTTTAATGAAAATATCCTAAGGTAATTTTGCACCGAGTGAGTAACCCTACTGACGCGTAACACCGACATCAACATCATCATCATATTAGTCCACTGCTGGACATAGGCATCTTCTTAGAAAGAAGGTTTTGGCCTACCTACAGGTTGGTCTAGTATATATAATAATAATAGTCTTTGTTTCAAGTTTACCTTCTCTTTGCATTGCTGTTATCCTGCAGAGTTTGCTACCTCAGTCGGCTCTTACGACAACCACGGGATGAATAGGGGTGATGACATTCCGTATTCTTAATCCGTCGCCACACTGCCTAAATTCCCTCTTCTTAGTTCTTACGCGCAGAAGGCGGTCGCACACTTTTGTCTCTTGAATTTGCTGGTGTCTACAGGAGCAGCGATAATCAGTTCGTTTGCTTTTTACATCATAAAGGAAACATATATTATATATCTAAAAATTTAATAAATTCTTGTGACCTATCTATATATCTATAGGTATTTATCATTGTTGAACATCACGCAACACACATCTTAGGCATAGAAAGAGCCCAGAACCATTTTATGTACCACTCAATTTCTATTCACTTTGTGCAACCGAACAGAAAGCACCCTGTGAAGAAAAGCCGACACTGTTCGCAATGGACCTATTACTCAAATATAGCTGTATGTTAGACCTTTTCTTCAGACATTGAAAGTTTCTTAGAAATAACGTAAATTGTACTCATTTATTGCATAGGTTTAACTGAAGTTTTATATTTATAAAGAGAGAGAGCTCTTTTATACTAATCTATTGCAAAAGTATCTTAAATAATTTTGGCATAAGATATGTTTATTCAAGAATTGGTACATGTACCTGAGCAAGGTTACTGATGACTGTTATGATAATTGTGAGGTTTGTGAATAATTTATTCGCATTCATTTTTGCAATTTCATTCTGAATGATTTATCCAATAAACACACTACTTATAGAATATTATAAACACAGTAGGCCTATTGAGTGTATCGAACATATTCATGTTTCAAGAAAGGATTTAAGTTAAATATGTCCAGATGAAGTAAAATGTATATTTTTATGGATTACATATTAATAAATTAACCGTGGGAAAGCCATGCTTCTAGACCGAGTTATATTATCACTCTACTTTAAGGATACTTCTTAAAGTAGGTATATTAATTGTATATTATCGTCTTCATCATCAGCAGCCTTTAAAAGCCTACTGATGGTCATAAGCCTCTCCTTAGAAAGGAGTTTTTGGCCTACCACTGCCTACCTACTATACCACGCTGGCCACACGGGTTGGTATAGATTTGTTTATCGTCATAGTATTTAATAATAACCTCCCACATCTCACACATGCCTGTCTGATCCCAAACTAGGTAGAGCCTGTACTATGGTAACCAGACTGCTGATAAACAGACTTAAATATTGCTAAGAACATATTTATTTTATTATAGACCAATTACGATACCTACCGAACCCACGACCCCGACAGTCTGGTAAAGTAATAATATATGTAACTCTTTAAATGATAAAGGAAAATGAAAATAGCCAGAGTTTATTTTGTAACAGGAAAAAATAAATGAAGCGAAACAATAATACAATGTTACCCAGGACACGATCAAACAAAAACGAATAGAATAAAAAAAAGGTAGCAGGAACAACATACCCACATTATTCCAATTGGGTAGCACTTACGTAATACGAGACGAACCAAGTGCGGTCAACGGACACCTTAGGAGTTACAGAAAGGAAATTAACTTTTTGCTTTCAATTTACTTTTATTTTATTTTTTTATTTTTTTTAAGGAAAGTCATTTATAGAAAAAGGAAGTTACTTTTACAAAATTAAATCAATCAGTCTATGAAGAAAAGCCTCTACCAATATGCTCCACAATACTCAGCCTTCTACCTTTCGCATGCAATCTACCACAGCCACCTTTTCCAGGTCCTCAATCCATCTGGCTTGGGGGCGTCTAAACCGCATTCTCCACTGTAAGTCATGCTTGCTCCAGCGTCCATTCATTATGAGTCTTATACGCACTGGCCCTGCTTGTACTAGCTCTTACCAAGAAGTCTATGCCCTCTAACGAAGCATGACTTGTTGTTGCGAAACAAAAAAACATTAAATAAAGCTTATCTGATTAAAAAATTAACATACCTAATACAAAGCTTAGTAAAAGCAAATGGTTAAGTAAAACCAGAACAAAAAAAACCGAAGAAATATCAGCTCTACTCAAAACGCATGTATCTCACAAGTAGTATTGTCACAGTGACTGCGTTGCGTCAACCGCATATGAACAATATGTATGTATTCCTAATTGTAAAGCAACGGATCACGTAGCTATAAGACCTTAGAACTTCAAAACACAACCTTAATTTGTCTAAATACAGATGGATTTCGAATGGTAACGAATATAACATTTGAGAACTTGACTGGCTTAAAATGTAAATCGATTAAATTGAGACGTAGTACTGTACAACGCTATAGACTATTTCAACATGCTTTCTTAATTAATAGGTTTAATGTCTAAACTATGTTTCTGTTATAAATAATCGATTGAAGATTGAAATTTCGATACAGAAACAAAGACGAAGATATATATAAAAATATATATTGTATGTTAATGGAGTGTATACAACTTTGTAAGTCACTTATTCTGATATTTGGGTCACAGGTTTTCGTCTACTTTGTTTAAGTAGAACATGTATACGTTGTTTATCGCACAGTGCAACATCGTATCGGCGAAATATGTGGGAAGACTACGAGATTATTATTCGTATGTAGAAATCTAAAAGAGATTTTATGAATAAATGTTAAACCAACCCCATTCCTGACAGTTTAATTAACTTACTACAAAAATATGAGTAGGTTATCAATTCGGTTGTTTAATTTAACATTTGTAAGGAAATCTCTCTGTTTGGTCTCAATTAAATTTGAATAAAAATATGAACCCTAAGAGTTGAAAATTAAGGAATGAAGAATACAGTGTGTTAAAATTCATAATGGTGCAGGTGCACAGCAGTCGGTGTTGTTTTTAACCGATTTCAAAATCAAAAACTAGGAGATTCTCATTTCGACTGTATTTTTCTTTTGTATGTTTGTTATGCGATATCTCCGTCAATTCTGGATAGATTTTCTAATGGTTTTAAATAATTATTTTATATCTCACGATGATGTGCAGTAATTTAAATTCCGTCTGTCATTGAATTACTTGACAAAACATAGAAACTTACAACTATACATCCTCGAATGAATCACCTTGAACTACCATACACAACGTGCCCCATAGATTTTTGTCTTATGTAAATGGTTTATTCTCCACAAACCTTTTATTTCCGTTAAAAATACGTCAAAAACCTAGAACAATACTTTTACAGTAAAATAACTTCATTCAAAATTCAAACTCAAGTGATGCACGCTGAACGCACACTTAACTCATCACCTGCATATTCTTTTAGGAGAGACCAAACCATTCCACCTGCTACTTGCTATATTAACACACGGCACAAACAGAGATCTAAAAGAGAGAGAATAAATATCGTTCATAAAGCCCAGTTTATTACAATTCTCAAGCGAGAGGTGTATACTTAATAGCATTTCCCATTATAGCATACAAACGAGTACAATTTTGTAGCATTTGCATTTCATTGGCATTTGTCTCTCTTGAACTACTTAGGAATAAAATGGATTATCTTATTATATCTCTGTATATATTATAGTCTCGTTAATCGTATGTGAATATGTCGCTATTCCCGAAGCACTTAAATTATGCAATGGTATTTTGAAACAGAACAACCTGTTGGGAATTTGCTGAGTGTTCGATTTAAGCCAGAACAATGCTATTTAAGATTGATTATATAGTTTTCATATTAATTTTCTTTATTCACAAGTATTTAAATTAA